TAATCTTCTTTTAATGAGCTTCGATTTAACATCCATATTGTATGTATAAAAAAAATAATTTATATTTATATTTATAACAATAATAAAATTATTTTTAATATTAATTAGAAAAATAAAATTATTTATCAACTAATATATTTATATTTCACGTAGTTATATGATATAAGTTATAAAACTAATATAATATAACACATGTAAGTCATAAGTAACACATATCATTCTAAAATATATAATAACTAGTACAACACACGTGTATTACACGGGTGCTTGCTAATTTTTTTCTTAAAATCTAAAATTAATAAGAAAAAAGTAGTTTGAAAATTTAAATACATTTTATAAGAATATATATTTATTGTGACACTTTTTATTTGTGCGACTTACTTGTGTTATATTATACTAATTTTTTTTAACTTACAATATATAACTACATTACATATAAATATATCAATTGAAGAATAATTTTATTTTTCTAATGAATTTTAATAAATATTATTATTTTTTATTATTATAAAGATAAATATAATTTATTTATTTCATATATACAATATGGATGTCAAATCGAAGATAATCAAAAGATGATTAATTTGATATATTATATATGTAAAACCGATAAGAAATACAAAAGTTAACAACTTTTAAAATACATTTATAATTCAATAGCTTATTAAAGGAAACAAATCAAAATTCAGGGATATATTAGTCACTTATTGCCTCACTATGTAAAATTACAAAAAATTAAAGGGTTATATTGGTAAAAGTGATATTAAAACACCTAAGTTAGCTAAATAATATTTATGGAATACCCGAACCTAGATGATTAATTATTAATATATCAATATTATTCATCCAAGCCTAATTACGAAGCATGATTCTTCGCCAAATAGGATTCTGAAGCACCAGAAGCAGCCACGTAGGCTCAGCGCATTCTGGAATTATATATAGGGAGGATATATTTTTTTGTAAAAAAGTAAACTAAATTTAATATAGTTTTCTCATTAATTTTAAAATTTAAAAATAATTTTTTAACAAGCACCCGCGTAATACTCGGGTGTTGTAATAGTACTTGTTATATATATATTTCTCATTTTATTTTGATTATATTTTATGATTCAATTTATTAACCATGTACATATTTATGTTTTTCTTTTATTTTATTTTATAATTGTTAGTGATTAAATTTAAGTCTATATAATAATAATATTAATAATGATAATAATAATAATAACAGCAATAATAATAATAATTATTATTGTCATTATTAGTTATCCACCTTTACCAACCAAAACAAATTGAAAAGAGTGCCATTTTTTGACAGCAAATATTAGGCGGCACTTTTAGCGCCCAACTTTTGAGGTCTAAATCTGAGCCAAGACCAAGCCAAGGGACTGTTCATCAGTCAAAAATCTTTATTTGTTCCTCTGTTGAAAGCTCCCGTAAAACGGCGAATGAGATATTACACTTCTAGTTGAACACCGACATGATAGTCCTCTCAGTCGGGTCGATACGTGGCAGAGCCTGGCCTCATTGGCCAAGCTGTTGAACCACTATCAAGGTCCGTGTATATGTTTTTGTATACATATTTTTTTTTTTTTTGTTGCAATTGTAGCTTCATTTTGGAGTTTCATTCGATTTGTTTGTTTTCTGAGTGATCCTAAATATTATCACTTTAGTGCTAATTGTATCTTTCATTTTGAGATTCTATCGATTTGTTTGTGGGTGGTTTGAAATGTTGCCATTTTAGAGTTATTTTTTTCCAATTGATGGGTGGTAGGTTTAACAGCTGCTCATGAGCCGAGTTGATATCGTCCTCATTTAAGGCTCGTTAGGCTAGAAAAATTGGGGTTTTACATCATTTTTTGAACTTTTAACATAATTCGGCTACTTAAGGTTTTATCAATTTGTTTGTGGGTGGTTCGAAATGTTGTCATGATTAGTTGTTTTCTTCAGTTGATGGGTGGTTGGTTTCAAAACAAGCTGCTCGTGAGCTAAGTTGAGATCGTACTTTGTTTAAGGTTCGTTAGGCTTGAATAATTGGGGGTTTACGTAATTTTATGGACTTTTAACATAATTCGAGTAGTAAAGATAAATGATCGGAGCTTGATCTCGAGCTCATTTAAGCTTCGTCATATGGAGTGTACTTGCTTTATTAATCAGGTTTTATGGAACTGATTAATTTATTGTACTTCTTCACATTGCAGATTGAATGTTTTCATATTGACTGTGCTTGAGCGTACGACAATGAAAATGAGATATATATGTTTATGATGTCATTATCTGTCCATGAGCGTACTCCTTTTCATAGCACGTATTGTTTCTGATTTTCGCTCTGTGCCCTTGGATTCTCCAGATGAGTTACTTTCAGACTCGAACTTAGAGAATGTGGGCTGACTATAAAGTTGGTGGTTGGTAATCGAACAAATGACCACCGCCCATCTTAAAATGGTTAGCTTTAGTGATCTGTTACTTACCTCAACGTTGATCAGGTGCAAATTACATGTTACTGTTTCTCAAAAATGGGGCCTATAATGCAACCTGCCTTTGTATAACAGACTTTTATATAATAGGCATTTGTATAACAGACTTTTCAACTTGCATGATTTTGTATTTTCTGGGGTTGCTACACAATTTGTCCTTGTCATTTAATATAACCTTTAATCACGAGAAACAACAAATACTTCCTTCACAGTTTTAGAAGCCTACAACTACTTGTTAGCTGCAAAATTACAAGCATTGACGTACGGTGCTACACTCACACCATTGAGATTTATATTTATCAAGCAAATGCTTTTTTTTTTTTTTCATTAGGGCTCCATAAATTTCGACATAAAGGTTTCCATAAAACGATTTGTTAGTGTAGGAATTGTTGATTTTGAAGCTGATGATTTAATGTGTAAAATGAAAAACAAATATTGCCTCTTCTCTTACAATGAAGATATTGCAGCTTGAGAAATGCTTCAACGCCTGAATGCTATTGCACATCTAGCAATGAATGGGTAAACCACCCTCCTGCATTATATCCCTAGCCTAGATTTTCTTTTCTGCATTTAGCTTGTTGGCGGATAAAATTGATATATATATATATATATATTATTAATATAAAATTGATATATTTCTCCTTCTAAAAGATTATTATTATGTAATGATACATATACTCCAAATGATATAAACATTAACACACCAACTTTTTAGGTGCTGGCAATTGTGTAGTTTTTATTTTTATTTTTTTTATTTTTTCTTAATTACCACACCATAAAGTGGTGCAACCATTCAAGTAGTGCCTTCATATTCAAATATTTATTGCGTTTTTCTGATATAATCTGTTACCGTACATGAATTTTAATAGACTTAGCCAACTTTCCCGCAACTTTTCGCAGTTCAGCAATTTGCAGACACCACTGTGCTCGAGGAAGCCACTGACGAAAAAGGTGGAAATAACATCTTTTACTTCATACATGCGGCCAAAAAATGTAACCTTCATTATGTAACATTTGGACTGGACACACAAGTCAGAAACGAATGGAGGTTCTTGAAAGTGAAAGAATTCAAAGACCAAAGTGTAGAGGCAGAAACTGAAGCCTTTGACCGCTATACCCAAAATGTTGGTTTACTGAAAGAGGTTTTTCTGGTGAATTCATCAGCCGATGACAATCACATGCAAGACGAGCCGTGAAGCTCTACCGAAACTGGTGAGTCCATTTTGACAAAAAGGACAGTAAATATGATACGTCTACACTTAACAGTCTCATAACAGGTGGTTTGCCCCTACGACACTTCACCGTGCCAAATCGATGCACAATTCTCTTCTCTGGAGGAGATTGAAGACTTGTAGTAGGT